CCCCCCGAGGCCAGGCCTTCTCCCAGGCTGTCTTTCGCTTGTCTTCCTGATGTCATGTAGAGACACGTCTTCAGACCCCACTTTTTTTTTTCTTTTTGGGTCACACCCAGCGATGCTCAGGGGTTATTCCTGGCTCTGCACTCAGGAATTACTCCTGGCGGTGCTTGGGGGACCATATGGGATACTGGGAATCGAACCGAGGTAGGCCGTGTGCAGGGCAAGCGCCCTACCCACAGTGCTATCACTCCAGCCCCTAGAGCCTACTTTTCATTAGACACCAGGCTTTTCTTTTAAAACCTGAAAAATACTGCTTTTCTGACTGTGAAGTACATAGTTCTTGAAAATGTCAATATAGAATTATATGAGGCAAAAGTGGACTTTTGTTCATTTTTAGTTGAGGTTTTTGGCCACACTTGGCAGTGCTCAGGACTTACTCCTGGCTCCGCTCAGGGGTCACTGCTGGCAGTGCTCAGGGGACCGTATATGGTGCCAGGGATAGAAAGGCTGGTCATGTGCAGGGCCAGAGCCTTAACCCCTGTGCTATATTTCTGACCCCAAAATGAGCTTTTAAAACATTATCACCCAGTATACCTAATGCCAGAGAATAAAGTTTAAAACTTGAATTAAGTAGTAAGTGAAATTTCCTTAGCTCACCTGTGCTACATAATACTAGATAGGATATTTTTCCTTAAATTTTTATTAGTGAAACACCATGAGGTACAGTTGTAGACTTCCAAATTTTTGTGCTTGGGTTTCAGTTATACAATAATCGAATACCCATCCCTCCATCAGTGCTCATTCTCTACCACCACTGATCCCAGTATCCCTCCCACCCCCCATCACCCCTCCATGCCACCCTGCCTCTGTGGCAGGGCATTCCCTTTTGTTCTCTCTCTCCTTTTGGGTGCTGTGGTTTGCAAAAGAGACGTTGAGTGGCAATCATGTTCGGTCTATAATCTACTCTTATCACGCATCTCCGATCCTGAGAGGAACCTCCCAACACCCTTTGTTTGGTGCTCCCTTCTCTATCTGAGCTGCCTTTTCCCCTAGCGTGTGCGGCTGGCCTCAAAGCCATGGAGTAATCCTCCTGGTACTTAATTATTAGATAGGATTTTAAAATGTGGGGGTGCTTTGGCCGTACCTGCTGCTGTGAAGGACCGTATAATGCCAAGGGTCAAACTCAGTTCCTCCCACACGCAAAGCTTGTGCTCCACCAGCCCTTGGAGCCATCTCCCCAATCCCCTGAATGGTATTTTAAATGGCTACGTGCTCTTTCATCCTGTTTATGCACTTGTTTTCTGCAATCATTTCTCTCCGGCTGGGTTTAAATCAAAGTATTGATTCACTTTTCTGGTTCTTTCCTAAGCTGAGTCCCAGACAGCCTTACGAGGTCAGAGACAAACATCTCGACGTTTCCTTTCCAGGAAGAGCTTCTTGTTTGACACTCTCATTAGCAGCTTGCAGAACATGCAAGGACAGCAGCCCAAATGAGTGTGAGCGTTTAAAATGTGTGTTGATACCCTCAGCGGGGGGGGGGGGGGGGGGGGGGGGTGGGGGGGGGGTGGGGGGGGTGGGAAGGTGTTGTGTTTCTTAGATAGCCTGGCTTTAGTGTTTTTGCTTGTTGAAGGATCTTCCTATGTGAGTTTTTTTTAAAAAAACATCTTTTACTCCATAACTTAGAGGCCAGCTGGGTATTCTAGGGGAAAGGACAATTCAGATAGAAAGGGGAACACCAAGTGGAGGGTGTTTGGAGGATCCTCCCAGGAGGGGAGATGCAGGTTGAAAGTAGACTGGACTGAACATGTTCGCCACTCAATGCCTCTTTGGCTGATCACAGCGCCCAGGAGGAGAGAGAGAACAGGGGGGAATGCCCTGCCACAGTGGCAGGGGGGGATGGGGGGATGGGAGGATGGGGGGGGGGGAGGGATATTATCCTGGTGGTGGAAAATGGGCACTGGTGGAGGGATGGGTATTTGATCGTGGTATGACCGAGATCCAAGCACAAAAATTTGTAAATCTACAACTGTACCTCATGGTGTTTCACTAATAAAAAAGAAAAAAAAAATGAAGACACCATGATTTACAAAGTAATTCATAGTTTTTGGCATACTGTATTCCACCACCAGCCCTACTGCACAGTGTCAACTTCCCTCCACCAGTGTCATCTCTACACGACAGTCTCTCTAATAAAACAAAATAAACAAGAAAAAGGAACCCCAGCTCACCTTGTTTGGAGCTTTGTACACCCCATTCCTAGAACCCAAGTGTGGTGTCCACACCTGGGTGGGAAGGCGCCTCAATGGGAAGCCACGTGCTGCTTCCACCGCGCCTCCTCCCTCCCTTAGACAGGTTCCAGCTGCTGCTCCAGCCTCAGTGTTTCCCTCCTGCCTCTAGGGAACCCCAGAAGTGAGCTGCAGAGTTCGGGAGCCCCTGGCAGGGGTCTGACAGTGGGAGGGCTTTGTGACCTCGCCTGCTGGGGAGGCAGTGGGGGCAGCAGCTCAGTCTGCGCCCACGTGTCTGATGGGGTGACACACTGAGGGACACTCCAGTTCTCCTTGATCCTTCCCGATGCCCGAGTCCTCTGGAATCCTCTGGAACCGGGAGAGAGTTGTGAGTAATTAAGTGACATCAACTCCCACAGCTGAGGGCGTTCTGAAATTGTGTTACTGGAAGGACTCCCTCTTGTGACCCTGGCTTAGTAACCCGGAGGAAGTGGTGAAGGTTCTAGAATGAGAGCCGCCTGCAAGAGAGGATCACTGACTTTGAGGGAAGGACGGTTTGGAGACCTATAGGTTAACGGTTTCTCAGACCTGTTCCCCGCTCCTTTCAAGTTCCCTCCATTCCATGTTATCACAGTTAGGGTCTCTCAGAAGGTCTCAAAGGGTGGGGACAGAGCTGAGGTGGGTGAACAGCCTCGGGCACTCGTCAGAGGAGATTTGCCTGGGGAGGAAGGGCCCTTCCTTCCTTAGCCCATATGGGGTCCCCCTCAGACCTTGCGCGCCCCTCTGCCGCCTCCATTGCCCTCTCCACAGCCTCCCAGTGCTACTTCCTGCCTCCATGCTGAGGAGCCAGTTGACTTTTCAACCGTCGTCTTTTATTTTAAATTTTATTTGTTTGGGTTTGGGGCCATACCGGCTGTACTCAGGCTGTACTCCTGGCAGGGCTCGGGGGCGGGGGGACCATTGGGGGTGCCAGGATTGAACAACCCCAGTCGGACATGTGCAAGCAAGACCCAGCGTGCTGTCCTCTCACTCCAACCTTTGACTTTGCTGTTTTATGTTGTATAGAAGTTTAGGTTTTTGATGCCACATTGATCATTTTTTCCCCACTTTAGAAGACGAGCTTCTCCCTTAGGAACCCTCTCTTCCCTCTTCCTCTTTCTGTTTTTGCAAGAGTGTTGTTTTTTTTTTTTTTTCTCCACGAGTCTTCCTTTCATCCAGAGTGTGTGCCTGTGTTGTTGACTCTGTCCCCTTGTTGGTGGTTTTCCCCTGGCTTCAGCCCGTTTGAGCTCTGAGCTCTGTCGCCCCCTCTCCAGCTACGTCTCTCTTGCTGGCCCCTCCAGCGTTTCCCCAGGGGAGTTTTTCTATGCCTCTGGCACTTTGGAGATTTGTGACTTGGGCGACTTTGGTTTCTTGTCCGGACCCCAGCCCCAGGGGGCCTGAGACCCCCAGCGATGGTCTCATTTGGGGACCACTGGATTTGCATCATTCAGGGACCACTGACTCAGTGCACCAGGGTCATTCTAGACAGTGCTTGGGTGACCATGAGGCGGTTGAGGGTCCGGTTTCCAGCCCTTGCACGAAGGCCGGTGCCTAGCACCTTGTACCCATCGACTCTCCAGCCTGTCATTCAGTGTGTCAGATTCCAACAGAGCCTGCCTGACCCTGGGCGTGAGCTCAGATCTTGGAACGCGTCAGAGGAATGGACCCAGGGTTTCTCCTCAAGATATTCCCATGTGCTAGGAACACGTCACTCATTGTGCTCCAGAGGAATTTGAAAAAGTATGTCAAAGGGTCAGAGGGATTGATAAAGTGTGTCATTCTTAACAGTGTCCAGAGTTTCTGGAAACTCAGGTTAGACCTAATGAGTCAGTGCTTTTGAATTTTTCCAGCCTCCAGCTGCCACGTTTTGGTAAAGAGGAAACAGGAACAGCAGCAGGCTTTCCAGCAATACACGTGCCCTCTAGTTCAGATGAAAATAAGGAAGTAGGGCCGGAGCGATAGCACAGCGGGTAGGGCATTTGCCTTGCACGCATCCGACCTGGGTTCAATCCCCGGCATCCCATATGGTCCCCCAAGCACCGCCAGGAGTAATTCCTGAGTGCAGAGCCAGGAGTAACTCCTGACGATCGCTGGGTGTGACCCAAAAAAGCAAAATAAGCAAATAAAAATTTAAAAATAAAAATAAAAGAAAGAAAGGAAGAAAGAAAGAAAATAATGAAGTAAGGGGTCAGAGCCATAGCAGGGCACTGGTCTGGCACAGGGCCAATCTGGGTTCGATGCCCAATATCCCAGGTGGTCCCCCTGAGCACTCCCCTGACTCCTCAGTGCAGAACCAGGAGTAAATAACCACTGAGTATTACGAGGTTTGTCCAAACAATAAGAAAAAAAAAAGAGAAAAATAGAAAAAGAAAAAGAAGGAAGTGGTAGGTGGTCCTGCTCAGCGTGAGTCTCCTGCAAGTGGCCTGCAAGTGGGTGGTCCCAAACGCAGGAGTGTGTGTGTGGGGGGAGGGGGGGAGCATCATCTCCAAGCACCTGAGTGGCTGCTGGTCCCCTGTCCCACCCCACTGGCTGCCTTCTCTGCAGCGGGTCGAAAGGATCTCCCGCAGGCCCTTGTCTTCTGCCAGCACCCTGCTGGTACCTCGCACCTTCTCCACAGCGGCTGTGCTCCATGTTGCTCCGTGCTGGAAGGACTCTGCCTTAAAAAAAAAAAAAAAAAAACAAGCTCTGTCCCCACATATCCGTGTTTTCCTCTTACTTTGTTGCTTCCTTTTTCCCTAGGCCGGAAGCTGAGAGGAAAAGCCTTTTATTTTGTCAACGGCAAGGTGTTCTGTGAGGAAGACTTCCTGGTGAGTGTGTCCCTGCCCTCAGACGTGAGAGGGGCCACGTGACTGTAGAGGAGAGACATTTCTCTCTGCGGTTCCAGTGTCTGAGAAAGGGGTCCTGCCTCCCCCTGGGTATATACACTGATGGTGGGTGGTGATGGGGGCAGCGGGGCAGGCCGACGTTCCCAAGACAAGTGATCTGTTGCCAAGAACTTGCTCCGGAAAGGATCTGAGGGTCACTTGGCCTGTCTCGTGCAGCCTTCCCTGTTTCTGTCAGCCCTGCCCATCGCTGAAACATCACACATGGGAACCTGCTTTCTTCCCAGCCTCTCCTCTACCTTCAGTGTCCATCTAGACGCCATGGATGCTTAGATCTGAGCTCTAGCTCCTGACGTCATCCTGCCCGCTGCAGTGGTCCTCTAGGACATGCCCCCCTCCCAACACACACACATACACACTCATCCTCACCAAGGCTTTGCATTATATCTGGATTCTTCTCTCCAGTGATCAATTCCCAGGCCTACCCCGGGTCCCTCCTGCTTCCTGCTCTCTCAGCCAGGGCCCAGGCAGGGAGCCCCATGCCAGCACACCCTCCCGGGACCCACATAGCTCCTGATCTAGACCCATGACCTCCGTCACGCTGCCCATAGGAGTGCCAGCTGATCTGCTGGGCCCGTGGCTCTGGGGCTCAGCTCACGCTCTCTCGGGAGATCTCATCCTCTCTCCCATGCGCTCCACACCCTCCACCTTGGCCTCGTCTCAGGCTGTGTCTTCTCCTCGGAGCCTCTTTCCCTTTCTTCGCCCAGACAGCCCTCCGTGTCCTCTGTTAAGCCTTCCTTGTCTCCCGGTCTCCACAGCACAGTGTCCCTCCAGTGAACTGCCGCCACCTGCCCCTGCGGGTGACAAGGAGGGCACCAACCGGCATCTTGGGGTTTGCGTGTCCCAGGGAGGCAGGAACATGCTTCCACCCTCCCTTTCTCTAGACCCTGCCCAGTGCCGGGCAGGACATGCTCTATGAATGGTGGCGGGACTCCCCGCCACACGGCAGGTCGAGGGCCGTTGGCCAGGGTTGGCTGAGTCTGCTTCTTTTTTTTTTTTTCTTTTTCGGTCACACCCGGCGATGCACAGAGGTTACTCCTGGCTCATGCACTCAGGAATTACTCCTGGTGTTTCTCGGGGGACCATTTGGGATGCTGGGAATCGAACCCGGGTCAGCCACATGCAAGGCAAAAACGTCCTACCTGCAGTGCTATCACTCTAGCCCATGGACCTGCTTCTTGGTGGGAACACTGTTGTCTGTAGACCCTCAGTTTCCAGCCTGTCCTGTACCTGCTGCCGCCCCCACTTTCATCAGCTAGCTCACCTGCTGCTCCCAAGCAAAACGGAGCAGTGTCCTCATCGACCAGACCTGAGTCTGGTGAGGCCCTGATTGACCTGGCCTGAGGTGCTGATGTTCTGGCTCTGATGAGTTCCTGCTTCACCAGTTCTGATTCTGGTGAGGTCCCAATTAGCCAGGGTCAAGTCTAGCAAGGCCCTGATTGGCTAGGCATGTTGGAAGTCAGGATAGGATTAGCCCACTGGAGTCAGAAGGACCACAGGTTGGGGATAGGCTTTATCTAAACTTAGTGAACTTGAGGAACTCTTACCCATAAAACGGGGAGGGGAGAGTGGTCGAGCAGAGACTCCACTCTCTAGTGGGGTACTGGTGGATGCCTTCCTTCCCCCACGTTCCTTTTCATGGTGTTTTCTCCTTTTCAGTCATATTAGCCATACATAAGCTTCTAGTATCTCTGTGTCGTGTCTACTGTGTTTTTTGAAGAGTACCCTATTTCTTTTGACAACAGGGTGTGTGTGTAGCTTTAAATATAACAGTTTTTGACCAGATCAGACTTGAATTTGAAGGCTCTCCTCATTCCTTACTGGTGGAGTGACCCAGAGAAGGTCACTTAACCTGTCTGAACGTCCCTTGTCTGCCAGTTGGGAATTGGGACCATCCAGACCTGGCTGCATTGTTCCAAATACTGTGGCAATGGCTGCAGCCCTGTGCACAGCAGAATCTTCTAGGGGACCCTGAAATAACTACAATTGCTATGTTCCACCTCCCAAAATCAGTGAGGGCCAGGGTGGAGGCCAGGAATGTGCTTCCCTTCCAAGAGCCCAGTGGCAGTAGGACTGTCTCCAAGCAGCTTTGGAGCAGAGGCCCCTCTCTGCATGGCCTTTTCCTGGAGCCCAGCAGGTCACAGCTAATGCCCAGGCGAGGACGTCACCATTTGCAAGGCTCCTATGACCAATATTCCGTGACTCATCGCGCAGCATGGCCGTGGCCGTTGTCGGGGAATCTGACAGACTCCTGTGGAGAGTGACACGCCTCTCTGAGGCATCCCTTGTAATCCTCACCGAGGGTGGAGACGTGATTGGATTCCAGGGCCCGGCCCTGGTCTAACTGTTTCTCTCTCCCCTGCAGTACTCGGGCTTCCAGCAGTCGGCCGACAGGTGTTTCCTCTGTGGCCACCTGATCATGGACATGGTGAGTGGGGTCCGCCGCATCCCCAGAGCGTGGCGGGAGGAGGAGGCACAGGGAGAACTGTGAGAACCGGGCATTCCCCCCCTTGGTCTGTGGGGATGGCCAGCGTCCTGAGAAGGGGTGCCTGTACCACACAGCTTGCCCCCGGAGAGCAGCACCAAAGCTTTTCCCACGTGAGACATCCTGTTCCCGCCTGAGAATCAAAACTATAGGCGAGCGCGGCCAGAAACAGCCCACACAGTTGGTTTCCAATCAGACTGTGACCATGTGTGTTGCCGGATCGTTCGGGATCCCCCCTCAGTCTGTGAAGCCAGGCTCTTGTGGGAACCGTGTACTGTCCCGCACCCCCCCACCCCCCGCCCTGCCTGCACAGCCGTGTGCTACAGTCTGGGCACTCTCCTCTCGGCTCCGGCACACGTGGGCCTCCCTCTGATCTGCCCTGATTGTGGCCAGCCCACGGGAGAGGCAAACGAGCCTGTTTTTCTGCCCTAATCTCAGCTACTTTTCAAGTCAGGTGCAGGAAAGAAATCCAGGCTAGATTTACCCCCATATTGTGCCCGGCTTGGTCCCTGACTAAAATAAGTTTGAGGGTGTCTGTAACTGGTTCTGAGGCACTGGGGTAAACAGTGAGCAATGAGCTTTCCGTGTTCCATTTCTCCCTTTATCTGTGGCTCTCTGAGCTCTCTGAGCTCTCTCTCTCTCTCTCTCTCTCTCTCTCTCTCTCTCTCTCTCTCTCTCTTTCTCTCTCTCTCTCTCCCCCTCTCTCTCCCTCCCTCCCTCTCTCCCTCTCTCCCTCTCTGCATCCCTCCGTTCCGGTCTGTCTCTCTCTCTGGGCACCAGGACCCATTCTCCAGCAAAGCTGGGAGATCAGTAGGGCTGCTCTGATTCTGTATCAGCAATCAGATTCTTCACTTTGGAGATCATGCCTGTAGAATCATGCCTGTAGTGATCAGATTATCTAACATCCTTTCAGTTGGAAAGCATTTGATCCTCCCTAAATTGATCTATTCATTGCATTGCTATTTTTTTCCTCCCTTTTACCATTTATTTTTTTCATTACAATTTTTTAAAAATTGTTTTTGTTTTTTGGCTCAGGGGCTACTCCTAGAAGTCAGTGCTGGTGGAACTCTGGCCATCAAATCCTGGCCTCTGGCCTGCAAAGCATGCCCTTCAGCCCACGAGTTACCTCTCCGGCCCTTCTCCTACCATTTTCATTGAATAAAGGGCACACATTTTAAATGTACAGCTGAATGAATTTGTGTATAGACCCACTCCCACCCAGACTGAGAACCTTTTACACAGCCCACACCTCAGAAAGTTCCTTCTTGTCTTCTCAATCAGGAACCCTGCCACAAAGGTAGGTCTCTACCTCTGTGACCTTGATTGCCCCAGACTCATTTTGTTGGCCAGGAGTCCCCTACGTGTGAAAGTGCACCATTCAGCCTCCTTTGAGCATTTGGGTATTTACTTTATCAGCTGCTGCATTAGAATCCACCCTAAGAAGCATTAGCTTAAGGAAGTGGTGATGCTTCGTTGTTCGTGAGTCCATGGGTCAGGAATGAGGTTCGGGCTCATCAGGACAATTCTGCTCAAGAGGCGGTGGCTGGGGTCACTCGCTCAGCTGTGTGCAGATGGAGGCAAGCTTGGGTGGGAAGAACCAGGATGACCTCTCACCCTCCACGCCTTTCTTTTGGGTACTGATGGTCTTAGTGTGTGTGGCCAAAACACCCCCAAATTTTAAAATCATATCTAGTATTATGTAGCACAGGGGAGTTATATTGAAGGAAATTTCACTTACTGCTTAATTTAAGGTTTAAACATTATTCTCTGGCATTAGGTATATTAGGGTGATAATGTTAAAAAGTTCACTCTGCAGCCAGAAATATAGCACCGGGGTTAAGGCTCTGGCCCTGCACATGACCAACCTTTCAATCCCCGGCACCATGTACGGTCCCCTGAGCACTGCTACTCAGTGGTCTGCCTGGGACTTTCTTACACCACCAGAAGGAAGAAGAAACCGCTAGTTTTCTGAAGTCCCTGACTCAGAGATTAGAACACCATTTCTCTCTTTTTCTGAGGATCAAAGAGAAAGGCATGGGCCAGTCTCGATTCAAGAGGATAGGGGAGCAGGCGGGACTGGTGCTGAGTGTTCTCCATCTCTTGAGGCGAGGCCCTGCCCTCGGATACAGGAAGAAAAGGGGGAACTGTTTTCTGGGGAATATCTGCTGAGCACACAGGATGTGTAAAGTTGAACTTAGAGTTTTACAGGTCTTCTCTGGGACCTGAAAACCTCTCATGGGTGTCTCTCTGAATGGAAAGGTGCTGAACAGGAACCTTATAAACTGCTGCCGTCTATGACGATCGCGCAGAGGAAGTCTCTGCAGACAGCATTCTCGGTTCCTCCAGAAACCCAGAGGCCAACTATGTCTCTGCGCCCTTTTTCTGTTTGTAGAGAAGACCCTGGGATTTGAGGGGTAAAACGGGGCATTTTCTCATGGTTAAAACCAAATGATGACAGCTAGTCCAAACTGCAGAAAGAAACGGACTCCTTCTCTGGCCACGCTCTGGCATAGAGTAGGTTAAACTAATTGAAGGGTCTGTTTCTGCCAAGACACATTAGTCCGGGGCCGGGATGTGTTCCACAAGCCAGATTGCCAAGTGGACTTTGGAAGCTCAGCCGGATGTTCTTCCAATGTTGGCAGCTTTCTGCAGATTGAAAGGGGCCCTTAAGGTTAGTGAAACCCCATGGGGAAGGCGGAAGCTGAAAGCTGAGCTTTCAGGGGCGAGCTGGAAGAGCACGCAGTCCTCTCCTGACCTTGGCAGCGTGGTGGACACCATGCGTGGGCTTAGGAGAAGAAGCCAGAGCCAGAGCATCTTACCCAGTGGCCTCTCACTCCACTGACGACCTTTCGCACTTCTGAGTCCCTTTCTGTGACCAGCGGAGGCCTCTGCGCTGGGTGTTCTCCGTGGAGAGGCCCCAGGACTGCTTCGTCCCTTCCCCACAAATCCGTTTTTTGGTGCAGACCCGCTGGTGTCAGTTCTGCCCTGCACTTGTGTCGAGTTTCAGAGCACCTGAGACCACAGACGTGATTCTCATGGTGTCACCGGAAGGTCCTTTCAACGGAACATTGTAGAAGAAGCCAGACCCTCCTTAGCTCAAACCCGAGCTTCTGAAAATTCAGATTGCACCAGATGAGAATGCTCTCTGCTGGACCTTCGCCCCAGAGACAGGAGATCTGGATGCTTTTTATTTTCATTTTTCTTTCTTTCTTTTTGGGCCATACCCAACAGTGCTAGGTATGTTGTGTGGGTGGGGCACCTGGTGACAGGGATGGAATCCAGTAATCCTAGTCCATTGCACCGTCCCCCCTGACCCCAGAATTTGCATTTTAAGCAAGTTCCCAGGTGTTGCTGACGCAGCATGTCCAGGGGCCAGACTTTGAGACCCTCGGACTTTTTAGGAGAAACGTTTTGATTCTGCCGAGAGGTGGGGACTGACTTCTGTAGCTCCCCGAACTTACCAAGGATATTCTTGTCCCTCCTCCTCCTCTTCCTTGTCTCGACTCCATCCTGGTTCCAGCAGTTCCAAGTGCCACATCCAGGTCAAATGACTCGGAGAGGAAGGAGCTTATGGGGCTTTCCCCTGATTGTGTTTAAAACAACGCCGGGGCTTTGCTTACCCTTGGATTTGAGAGGATCAGGGCTGAGTCTGGATGATCAGGCCGTTAAAGCTGCTTAGAAGCTCCCCCCAACCCTGGGAGTGGGGGACTTAAAGGCTTTTTTGCACCCCACATCTCACATATTCTGTCTTGACTGTGTGAAATCCCCTTTCATGTTTCTGTGACATGCTCCCTTTTAAACCTGCGCGGGGTCTTCTCCTGACTCTGCTCTCCCCATTTCCTGAGAAGCCCACTGTTTATTGCATCCGGATTCCCTCCTGGATGTCTCAGAGGCCCAGCAGAGGACCGTGGTCCAGAGAAGGCAGCTGCTCCTGTGTGTTCTCCGCCAGCCCTGCTCAGCTCCGGCCTCTCTTCCTTCTTTCCCACAGATCTTGCAGGCCCTGGGGAAGTCCTACCACCCCGGCTGCTTCCGCTGTGTCATCTGTAACGAGTGTTTGGATGGGGTGCCCTTCACCGTGGACTCCGAGAACAAGATCTACTGTGTCCGGGACTACCACAAGTAAGGAGGCAGCCCTGGGACTGGGGCTTCGTGGAGGGGGAGGGGCTACCAACAGCCATCCACAGCCCAGCAGCAGCACATAATTGGCTTGGGGAGGGGCATCACGGGGCCTGGGGAGGGCTGCTCAGAGGAGCCGGAGGAAGAGTTACGTTTGTGGGAAAACCGAACATCAGATCCCAGACTGGGCCCCAGGAGGAATCAGCGAGGCCCTGTAGGTGGGGACTCGGGGCCCCCTCCCCTCAGTGCAGGCTCTGGGCGGGGGGCTGTGTGTGGAGTGGGGGCTGGCTGTGTGTGGGCTGTGGGCTGTGGGCTGTGGACTGTGGATGTGGTTTGCATACAGGCTTTGGACTGTGTGGGCTGTGGGTGCAGGTCACTCACCTCTCTCTGCTTCTCCTCGCAGGGTGCTGGCTCCCAAGTGTGCAGCCTGTGGCCTCCCCATCCTTCCCCCAGAGGTGAGAGGTCATTCACAGGATTCCTGCCCTGCCCTTACACCTTTGTAGACACTGTCCTGGCACCTCAACTCCAAGATACACCATGTTCTCCCCACAAAGCCCCTTGGCACACGTGGTTCTGCCCAGGGCTCTCATGCCCAGTGTGACCCACAATCAGGTCACTAACTCCTAGACTAGGAAGTGAGCGATGGGGTGGGAATTGGGGTGGGAGCGATGTAGTACAGCAGGTAGGGCCCTAGCCTTGCATGCAGCAGACCTGGGTTCAGTTCCCCAGCAACACATACGATCCCCTAAGAGCCTGCCAGGAATGATCCTTGAGTGCCGATTCAGGAGTCGTAAGCCCCGAGCAATGCTGGGTGTGGCCCAGAAACAAACAAAAAAATCAGAAAGTGAGCAGAACGCTCGTCCATGGTAGAGCACCTGCCTTTCCATGTATGGGACTAGGCGAGATCCCCCAGCATTGCCAAAAACAAATAAACGGAAAGTGCCCACCTTGGTGCTTTGTTCAGTGCTTGGGACTTGAACCAGAAGGGAGGGGCTCCCTGTCCCTTCCATTCTCCTCCTCTTAGCTAGACGTGGCTTTTTTTACAAGCATTGCTCACCTCCCACCCATGCCCTTCTCCCGAGACCCTGACCCCACGCAGGCCTGGGGAGCCTCTGAGCTCCCTCACCCCTCGTTCTTGCTTCCCTTCTCCGCAGGGCTCGGATGAGACCATTCGCGTGGTGTCCATGGACCGAGACTTCCACGTGGACTGCTACCACTGCGAGGTAGGCCTCCCCCGCGGCCCCAGAGGAGACGCCTCTGAGACAGTGCGCGGGATCTGGGGTAGCCATGGAGGAAACGGGGAAATCCTGATTTGGGGAGCTTGGCGAGGAGACCAGAGTTTGAGGCATGGAAGCCATCCCTGTTTTCTCCGTGCTCGTAACTGTCCAGTTTTGACTCGGACACAGCTGCTCACCATGCGTGCTGGGTGGTGGAGGGGAGCCTTTGGGGGGGGGGGTCCCTATTGTCAGGCTAGTATGCTGGGTGGGGTCTGGTCATTCTCCCCCTGCTGCTGGCAGACCCTTTCTCTGCCAGGAGCCCCTTTCTCAGAAGCTGAACCCTAGAGGTCATGAGAGAGGGTCCTCTGGAACTCAGCCATGCTGCTGGTGTGTGTGTGGGGGGGGGGGGGGGAAGGTTGGAGAGCCCCTCTGTCCCTTCTCTCGCCTGTGCCTGCCCTGAGGCTGAGGACCCCCATAGTTCTCAGCCACCTCGCCCTGTGAAGAGAGCAAGCGTAGTAGGAGATTCTTCCAGAATGAAGTGGAGTCCCAGGCAGACTGAGATTAGATTGACTCTGTGAGATGGGTTGATGGGGGTGGGGCTGTGGTTCAGTGCCTCTCCCAGCCTTGATGCAGGTGGGGGGCTCTTGGCAGTGGCCCCCAGTTGACTTGGAAAGAAGCAGACACTTTGCCTGTCAGGCCCTCACACACTGAGGGGCTGTGATGCCCAGTGCGGTTGAGCGGGCCTCAAGTTCGGGTCCCACATGGGTTTTTGTTCTGGTGGCCGTGTTATCAAAGTCAAAAGAAACAGTAGGATTAAAAATTTTTTTTTATTTCCTTTTAAATCCAACCCCACATATCCAAAATGTTACTTTAACAGGGAGTTAAAGGTTTTTTTTTCTTTTTTGGGTCAATCTGGTGATGCACAGGGGTTACTCCTGGCTCTGCACTTAGGAATTACTCCTGGCGTTGCTCAGGGTATCATATGGGATGCTGGGAACTGAACCTGGGTTGGCCGCATGCAAAACAAACGCCCTACCCGCTGTGCTATCGCTCCAGCCCTAGATTTTTTTTTTTTCCAGTGCGATCTTGCATTCTTTGGGGGAGTCCCATGCTTGGAAATCTGGTGTGTGGTTTCACATCTCAGTTCTGGGGGGCCCTGTGAGGGCTGGGCAGTGAGCTTAGAGGTAGGGGGGCTCAGGCTCAGGGCAGGAGTGGGCCTTACTGCCCACAGGGGTGCACAAGGTGCCCTCTGTCTGTCCTGACGTTGGTCTGGGTTGTCTGTCCTGTCTCACCGCAGGACTGTGGTCTCGAGCTCAACGATGAGGATGGTCATCGATGCTACCCACTGGAAGATCACCTCTTCTGTCACTCTTGTCATGTCAAGAGGCTGGAGAAAGGGCCCCCACCCACAGCCCCAGCCCAGCACCGCTTTTAGCTCGGCCTTCTCCCAGACCTCATGGGGGATGGGAAGCCGGACTGTGGGGGGCGCAAGAGGAGCCTGCCCATTAATTTGAGTGACCCTGGGCGTGGAGAGAGGAGAGGCGGGCAGCAGGAGAGGGTTCGGTGCCTCTGACCTGGTTAGATCCTTGGTTGGCATATCAGCCCCATGCCTTTCTCTCCTCCACCACGCCTCCCTCGGATTACTCAGGAAGACGCCCCCCCAGCAAGTAGGTGGCACGTGACAGGCAGTTGCTTCAGGGGTGATCTGCTCGTCCTTTCTGGAAACTGCTCCCACTTAAGAGGGAGAAAGGTGGCCTGAGTGCTTTCACCATATCCTCTGAAGAGCAGCAGCTGCGGACAGGACACGTCTATCCTTGGTCTCCCCTCTGAGCACAGGCCCACGTCTACGCCCCATGATCTGAGACATCCTTCTAATGTAGCCCCAAGGCTGCTTGATTGCAGGAGTGTTCTCTCTGTGCTTTGGAATCTGAGAGGAATTCACTAACTGGTAAAGCAGGGCTGAGTTCTGACCTGCAGGAGACCAGAGCTTCCTCCTTGTACCCTGACGTTATCCTCTGATGCTCCTTCCAGCCTCTGCTCACCGAAAGGCCGCTGGCTGGGGGCCTGACAGAGACTCACCCCAGGTTAGCCTAGAGTGCTCTGGGGCAGCAACCTGGTGCAGGCACCAGGCTTTTTTTTTTTTTGGTGTGTGTGTGTGTGTGTGTGTGTGTGTGTGTGTGTGTGTGTGTGTTGGTGATGGTGGTCACTACCGGAGCTCTTCAGAGTCTGTGACTTTGGAGTCCTCCTCCTGAGGCGAGTCATGGGACCCTGTGTGGGGACATTCCACACACCTATGTTCACTGACTTCTTCACAATGAGCTTCTGGCTACAGCCCAAGAGCTTGCCCCTTGCAAAGGGGAAAGAGTGTGTGTGTGTATGTGAGATCTCCTTACTGGCATGGAGGGCATGCCTCAGGATAAGTTATTCTATTCATGTCACAGGTTTCTCTCTTGTCCAGCTCTTGGCACAGGCACTGTGTTTGAAGAAAACCAGTATAAGGTACATTGCTTTCTTCTGGGTTTTCTTTGCCCTCCTTCTTCTTGGAAAAAAATAAAATGGTTTCCTCCACTTTCAGTCTCTCTCTCTCTCACACACACACACACACACACACACACACACACACACACACACACAAATACCTCACAGACAAGAGTGTCACCAAATGGCAAGTTGAGGCAAAGTGCAGCCACCATGCTGTAAACATACAGTCCTTGGTGTGTTTGGGGTCTCTGGCTTCGCCTCGGCCAGACCCAGAGGCTCAGAGCTCTGGAACCCTCACTGAAAGTCTGCTGGGATTAAGGCCAGCTGACCCTGGGTGCCTTTGCCATATGCATTTCATCACACTTAGCAAGGGCTTAGAGAGGGCCACACGCTGACTGGCTCTCAGCTCCCCCTCAGCACAAAACTTGACCTCTGTATCCTTTTGAGATCAGAGTCCTCCCACTCCTTTCCAGAAGCAGGCCTGTAAGAAGAGATCGGCCACCATTCAGCCGATGGGCAGGACTCCTGGGGCTTTGTCTCAGAGCGGAGGTTCGGAGCCAGTGCACCAGTGCCCACTGGGCTCGCGGCCTGGCACCAAGTCTCTGCTTCCTCCCCACATACCCGGTGAAAGGCCAGCCTGGCCAGGCCTCAGCCGGTGCCAGTGGAGCCAAAGGCACAGGAGTCTCCCTGACTTTCCACAGCAGCCAGCTCTGTTCCCAGACCGCGTTTGGACTTGGTAGCAGTTGCCTGGAAGGAGCACACCTGTGGCGCCATGGGTTACCTTTTCCTTTGTGATGAAACTCACCCTATTGTGTTATGAAACTCATCCCACTGTTACATCAGCCAGGGTTATGGGCTTTCATCTGGCTCTTTATGAATGGGGAAGTCACCTGAGAACCCAAGAACGCAGAGGGCTGTGCGCGTACGCCCTGGGCTGAGTGTTCTGCCTCATCTGTGGCAAGGTTGGCAGGCACAGGAAGCCAGGCAGGAGGTCTTCCCCTGTCTGCAGCCCGAGGATGATTCCCAACTTTGCCTTGTGGATACACCTTTGCTCACCTTTCAAGTGCAACTGAGGGAATGACCCAGAGCCACTGCCAGAGTAGTAGGGATTGGTTTGTGGGTTGAGCAATGAATGAATGAAAGTGTGTGATTCATTTTTCCAGTGAAAATTTCAAAGTGGCCTTGGATTAAGGTGATTCAGCAAAACGTTGCAAACATGGTATTTGTCCTGTTGAAGACGAACGTGAAGAGAATGGCCAAATGCCCAGAACTCCCAGCATCAGTTTCTGTTGTCAGAGGACTCTGCACCAGTTTTCTCTCCTCCCTGGACCCCTCACTCTCACAGAAGCCATCTGGTTCTTCTAAACGCCCTGTGACTTATTAGCCACATAGAGCTATAATGGGGTTGTGCTTGTAGGTACATAGAAAGCACAAGGCCAGGCTTAATCAATGTGTTTTAAAAGTCAGAGCAGGAAGGCTGGAGCAATAGCACAGCGGGTAGGGCGTTTGTCTTGCATGCGGCTGACCCAAGTTCGACTCCCAGCATCCCATATGGTCCCCTGAGCACTGCCAGGGGTAATTCCTGAGTGCAAAGCCAGGAGTAACCCCTGTGCATCGCTGGGTGTGACCCAAAAGGCAAAAAAAAAAAAGTCAGAGCAAGTAACTCTTCCTGACCTCCTTCAACATTTCCACGTTGAGTTAAAAAGAGAATTGTGATTTGACCCCCCAAAGCCGGTCTTCAGCTCTGTCTCTCACCTCCTTTTATACCTTTACTTTGGGCTATTCGGAAACTGCCTCCGTGGCCTGAGAAAAGGCAGCATGCCAGTCTGCCTTGCTCTCTCCCGTCTCCGTCTCCCTGCTCCCGTCTTCTGGGCACAGAATTGAAATCCCTTGTACATTCATTGAAAACTTCCTCCTGGTTCAGCCAGGGCCTGCCATTGTGACCTGGGAGGCTGGAGGGATAATCGGGTTCTGCCCACCTCCAGTTCCCGCTATCCCCTCTTCTCCACAACATTGAGTCACGCTTTAGACATGAAAAGCAACTGTTAGAAATCAAGACAGTCACTGTTGGGCCTGAAACAACGCTGGTGTGAACAGAAACAGGAGGCTTTTCTGTTTAGAGACTCACGTCCATAGGTTGCACCTCGGGCGCTGGGTGGTTGGAATCCGAGGCTGTGAATGTGGATCCAGGGACCCCCTCTCAGGGACGTGCACATCCATGGGCGTGGGTATGGAGAAGGCTGTGTGTGGTCCGGAAACCGTCCCCTGTGGAAAACCGGGGCATAGCGGTGGGGAGGGGCTGGGGGGGGTCCGAAGTTAGATGCAGGTTTCTTGTATGGGGTAGGTGACCCTCATTTCCTGTGTTGCCCAAGGATCAGCTGAACTAGGCTTTTGCCTCCTTGCAGCCCTTTCTCAGGTGCCATTTTCCAAATCCCTGAATGCAGCCGAGCCTTGGTGGGTGCTGGAACCCACAGAGTGTGTGAGGGTTGACCCTCCCCCTCCCCCGCTCACTGGGCGTTGATGCATTTGTTAAAGGCATCTGCCAGGAAACCAAATTCTTTCCTTGGTGCCAGAAATAACTCCTAGTTTTTCCATTTCCTATTTGAAATAATTTTTAAAAATAGAAATAAATGAGTCAAATATATTCGCTATCTATTGTTCTGAGCCAGAACTGGACAGATGTGAGAAATTTATATATGGTTTATGAAAATTTCACTGTTCAGGGAAATTATTTCCTTTGTATCTCATTTTAATAGAGTTATTCAAAAATTACTATAAATTTATTCAAAATGTAACAAAATTGCATTGATTTGTACACTATTATTAAAGTGCCCTCCGACTTGCTGTTTACCAGGTCTTCTTGTGTGTTTATGTGTATAGTGGTGCCTTTTGCTAACTGGACTAGATATTTTACAGCTCTAAATTCTTGTTTTGGGGTCACACCTGGGGGGGTGCTCAGGGCTTCCTTCTGGCTGTTCTCAGGGGACCATATGTAGTATCAAGGATTGAACCACAGTTGACCATGCTCAAGATATGCGCCTTAACCACTACAGTGTCTCTCCAGCCAGCTCTGGATTCTTCAAGGAATGCCATACATTTCAAAACTGTGAAGGGTGTCGGATTTTATCTTACTTGGAAGCTTCATAAGCTAGTATTCATGATTTCATGGATCCTGGCTGAAGCCAGAAGGCTCCTAGGCCAGAGACAGAGGATGTATCATGACAGCAATAGCAGTGACATTTGTCTTGAACAGTATTTATACTAGTTCCCCGAGCCCCATTTCTGACAGGTTCCACTGAAGAGAGCAGGTGAGAAGTGCCCTCTGGTAGGATGAATATGCCATGCATACAAAGAAAAATCAAGTGTGTGTATGTGTGTGTGTGTGTGTGTGTGTGTGTGTGAAACCAGGGCCTCACACACACCACATGTGCTCTACCCCTTTGTCTTTTATGGCAGGTGGTGGGTGGTGAACCTACCTGATTCTTGCTTGTGTGCATGTATATATGTCTGTGTGCATGTATGGGTACCTGAATCTTGCCCGAGTGTGTGTGTGTGTGTGTGTGTGTGTGTGTGTGTGTGTGTGTACCCAGAGCCTCACACATACCACATGTGCTCCTTCGACATTTCCAAGTTGAGATAAGACGAGAACCACGACCTGATTCCAGACCCCCAATGCCGGCCTTCAGCCCTGTCTCGCCTCCTTTTGTGCCTTTACTTTGGGTCGTTCGGAAACTGCCTCTGTGCCCTGAGAAAAGCCAGCATCCCAGTCTGCCCTGCTCTCCCTCACCTCCCTCTCCCTGCTCCCGGCTTCTGGGCAGACTTGAAATCCCTTGTACATCCACTGAAAACCTCCTGCTGGTTCATCTAGGGTCTGCCTTTGCCTAATACCTGGCCCTGGAATTTACGGGTGGTGAACCTACCTGAATTTTGCTTGAGACAGACACAATTTCTTTTGCTGCAGACCCTGTGCAATGCATACAAACTTCAGCAGAAAGTTCAGAACATCTACATACTGAGGCTGCCAGGCCAATGTTCCAGTGATCCAGGAAAGCTAAAGAGTGTGGATCTGCTGGTATTGATGTATAGGGATCACTGCTGGCAGAACTTGGGGGATCATATGAGCTGCTGGGGATGGAACTTTGGGTTGGTCATGTGCGAGGCAAGTACTCGATTTGTTGTACTCTCATTCTAGCTCCTGATCCAACACTTCTGGGACCAGAAATGGTTAAACATTTCAAGTCAAGGCTGTTCTAATGGAGGTGATAGAGAAGAATTCATTCCGTGCCCCCTTTTAAAAAATTTGCTTTGCTTTGCTTTTTGGGTCATACCCTGTGATGCTCGGGTCACTTCTGGCTCTCTGGCATTGGTTAGAGGACCATATGGGATGCTGGGGATTGAACCGGGGTTGGCTGTGCGCAAGGCAAATTCTCTACCTGGTGTACTATCGCTTTGACCCTCCTTGCCCTTTTTCAACAACTGTCGCTTTCCTTGGCTTATGGCTATATACGGACTTCTCTCATCGTCACACCTTGCTCTGCCACTCCTACATGAACCCTTGAGATTCATATAATGAATGAACCCTTTCTTACATGAGCCCTTGAGATTCATATA